CCTCTCTTTCCCTAACCCTGTCCAACAAGGGGAAACAGTTACTGTTTGCTTTCCTACTAGACATCTTGAGTGTGAAAGACTGTATCGTTGTGAAACCCTCTACCTTCCCTTGTACACTCGCACAGAGGACATGGCACTGTTTGGAGGAATAAAAGTCACACAGCAGCAAGGCGGCTTCACGGCTTAGCTCAAACATGAAGAGATACTATAAAAACTAAGGCAGGGCTTCCCTGGTGGCGCAGTTGTTGGGAGTCCGCCTGCCGATGCAGGGGACACGGGTTCGTGCCCTGGCCCAGGAAGATCCCACATGCCGCGGAGCAGCTGGGCCCGTGAGCCATGGCCGCTGAGCCTGCACGTCCGGAGCCTGTGCTCCGCCACGGGAGAGGCCACAACAGTGAGGCCCGCGTACCGCAAAAAAAAGACAAAAAACAACAAAATAAACTAAGGCTAACAGGAAATGACACTACAATTTCATCCTATAATTCAAAGACAGAAATAAATGAAGCGAACAATAAGATTTTACCTAGGATACTAAAGACCCATTTTTAAATGAAAACCAGCTATGGCAAACTGGTTTAGGCAACACTTAAGCAAAATCCTAGAGCAGGACAGTGTAAGTGGCAGAATCACTGGTAAGTAGTTTTGAGCAACTTTAAAGCCACCGAGGTCCTCCTCTTTAGGGACAATCACTTGTTTGAGTTTCTTTCTAGAGATAATTAATATATATCAGCATTTTCTTTATTTTATACAACTAGTAGAATATTGATTTTGATATTTTCATTTAATGATGTAACTTAAGAGATCTTTCCATATCAGTCTCATTCTTTTTAATGGCTGCATAGTGTTGTAGTGTATGTATATGTTATATACATATGAAAAGTTTAAAAATGTACCATATTTTATCCAGGCTTCTACTGATGGAAATTTAACTTATTCCGAACTTCTTGTTACTATAAAAGTGCTATAATCTGTATATTCTTATAGATCTGTGAAATAAATACCTAAAAATAGAAGTATTGGGTTGGCCAAAAAGTTCAGTTAGGAACCCAAACAAACTTTTTTGGCCAACCCAATACTGAATCACTGTCATTTAAAATGCTGACAGACATAAACTGATCTCCAAAAAGGCTGTACCAAGTCACCAGTGGCTTTTCAACTTCTGAATTTACCAAGGCCAGGTGAGAAATACGATCACTTGTAGTTTTATTCTGCATTTTCTGTTTCATGAAGGAAGTTAAGTATCTTCATGTCTAAGTTTCTCTGTTTTCTGTATCTTTTGATGATTTCTTGGTCCATATGCCAAATTTACAGAAATTCTTTATATTAACAAAACTAGTCCTTTTTGTGATATGAATACACAACACACACATCTCCCAGTTTTCCATTTGTCTTTGGACATAACAGTACTTTTTCTCCCCATGCAGAAATTTAAAATCTATTAATGCTTCTGGGTTGGGGATTAAATGTAATAATAACATCTTTCTCTGTATCAGGGAGCAGCAAACTATGATCTGTGGACCAAATTTAGCCCACTGCTTGTTTTTATAAATAAATTTTATTGGAACACAGTTAAACTCCTTCCTTTATTTATGATCTATTACTCCTTTTAGGCTACAATATGTTGGATACTTGAGTAGCTATGACAGAGACTGTATGGCCAGCAAAACCTAAAATATTCCCTTCCTGGCCTTTTACAGAACAAGTCTGTCAACCCTGCTCTAGACAACTGGAAAAAAAAAAAAAGATTCCTTTTGTTTTTGTACAGTCCTATTTTATGACCTCATTTTCCATGTTTGTTCCATTTTGAATTTACTTTGGCCTAGGCTAGTGATCTATCTTTACTTTTTTCCAAATGGCTGTCCAGGTGTCCCAAACCATTTACTGAAATATCCCCTTTTCTCACTGATTTGAAAGGCCACCTTTTTCATTTTCTACATTCCATTTTAGTTTGTCCATTTCTAGACTTTCTAATCTGTTCCACTGATTTTCAAGTCACTTCTTTTAAAATGAGAGCCAATTCAGATTGTGACTGCCTTGAAAATAATTTACTTTAGAAAGATTTTAAGTGAAATTTAGCACTTAAGGAAGACAGGAAGAAGAGCATTCAAGTAATCTTATTAATAGCTGCTCAGGGAATTACATGTATGTCAGGTGGTGTTGAGGAGAATGGATATAATAAAAAGGGAAAACTATTATTAAGCACGTGCTATATAAAATTACATTAAGCATATCTCATTCAATTATTTTCACTTTTGATTATAAATGATTCTGAAGGAAAAGGCAACAAAAAAAAGTGTTCCATTTCCCAGGTTCTGTGGGACTGATGGTGAAAAGAGATTTACAACAAAACTTTACAGCACTAGCAGTTGATAATGAACTTATGACTAAGCACATGGTGATAAAAGTTCTAAAAAAAACATTTAAGTTGTTGGTATGGACAATTTTTACAGAATTAAGTTGGAAATGTGCCTTTTTAAAAAAGAGATATTTATGGACAGACCAATTCTAGAGACTCCAGAAATAGATAAAATGTTTGGGGGCTTCCCTGGTGGCACAGTGGTTAAGAATCCGCCTGCCAATGCAGGGGACACGGGTTTGAGCCCTGGTCTGTGAAGATCCCACATGCTGCGGAGCAACCAAGCGCATGCGCCATAACTACTGAAGCCTGTGCTCTACAGCCCACGAGCCACAACTACTGAGTCTGTGTGCCACAACTACTGAAGCCCGCACGCCTAGAGCCCATGCTCAGCAACAAGAGAAGCCACCGCAATGAGAAGCCCGCGCACCACAACAAAGAGTAGCCCCCGCTCGCCGCAACTAGAAAGCCCGCGCACAGCAATGAAGACACAACACAGCCAAAAAAATAATAATAATGTTTAAACTGATGATTTGAAATCTTACATTTGTATTTCTACCATCCATGCTGTTCAAACTTATCTATATTTCTATACATCTCAAAAGCCAATAGGTGGCCAATAAATTAACTTTTATAAATATGCTTGAATTTCCTTGTATCTCTTACCAAGGATTTGACTGAGCTAATAATAACAAAGGGTCTTATGCTAAGAAACTATCATTACTCCCTGGCATGCTACCCTCAAAAAAAAAAGTAAAAAATTCACAACTTTGCTGATATTACATGGTCTCAATATTAGTATCAATGCTCCTCAATCATGAAATACATAAAAATGTTGTTCAACACGGTCTCAAGTACACCTACGAACTCTCGAGAATGTGTCTTTGACATAGTAAACCTCTACCATCAATTACAGGAAGGTCTGGAAGTGGGAATACAGAGGAAGAAGGGTGCTTCTCACCATCCTTCTGAAGCTGGGCTCCTGCTTCCACAACTGCTGTTGGAGCCACCACGGACACGGGCTGCAACACACACAGATATACAACATCTTTAGCATCAGTGACTTAAGAGTGACTTTATAACCTAAAAATAAGTCTGATGTAAAGAAAGAAGGGCATTTTATAGATTTTTAAAAGAAATTTTGAGTTTTAACCTCTCCAAACTGCTTTCTTAATTTTTCTCATGGAATGCTCAAAAGTATAACTTGGATATTCATAGAAAAAGTAGTTTTAATCAGAACATTATTGTGTCACAAGCCTAAAAGGAAGAAGTTAAGACTTCGAATTTAAAGTATAGCCTCCTCCAAAGCATAAACACAAAGTCCATAGAACTGATCTGTGGTATGATTCTAACCACAGGTAAGACAAGAAAAGTGTCTCCCAAATCAAATTTTTTCCATAGTTACACTACTGGGTCAGTGTTACTCTTTCATTCATCGTCTCATTTCTGTCGACTGGAACAAGTAAAGACTCTGATTAGATGTTAAAGGTATTAATAATGGTCTAGGTTACAGCTTATATTCCAGGAATATAATATATTAGGGCTGTGGGGAGATTTTATCAGAACTCACACCAACTGCAGACGTCAGCACAATGGTCTCTGGACTGAGCGTTCTTCTCAGCTGAGCATCCAGATCTCCCAGGGGCTGCTGGGGCTGAAGGACACAACACAGTGAGCACAGCCTCGGGCACAGCCAGAGCCGGCTTACACAGGACACACTGCTTCCTGCTTCAGGGCCACACAACATAACACGCATCTGCTCACTCAACATTAAACTAAATATCCTAAGTTCAACTTAATTGTACTGCTTGAATGAATTAGCAAGCTCTCAAAATTTTACTGTCAAGTTCTCAAGCCACAGAAAAACTCAGGTACATTTATGTTTTTACAGTTTTGAAGTCTTCTTTCTTACCTTCTATGTTTGATGTTACTTAGAGATAGAAACGTTAACTATTTGTCCTCTCCTTAAAAATATATTCTGAAAAATGTATCAAGATTGATTGGTAGATTAACTGTATTGTTCCCTATTTTCTTTTTCAGTTGGGCACATCTTTCTGAGAGCCTGTCCTTATGAATAAAAGATGGCATTAACATACTCTGTCACTATCTTGGCTTCTACCTACCTATGCCTCTCCAGCCTTCATCTATGCTTCTCCCTCTATATGCAGCACCATCCACTTATCCTCACCCACTACCTATCTAATATGCAGTTTCTCATCACATTTTGGGCCCTCTTAGGAACTGGAATACATGTTTTTAATGAGAAAATAGGTTCAAGACTTTCACAATGCATTTTTTTTTCAAAATTTAGCAGCCGATGGAATGGGTTCTCTATTAGAGTTATTACTTTATTATGGCAAGTTCCTTAAATTATGTTTTACTGTACATGTGGGATTAAAGAAGTAGGATAAATTCAGACTTTAAGTTAGCAATTTACCATGTTTTTTTTATATCTTATTCTAAAATAAATTCCTAACTTATTTTCAATGTTTACTAGCTTGTCCCATGTCAGAAGTTTTTTCATAGTTACAATGGGATCATACCAAGTACTTTATTTATGGGAATTCAACTAATGTGTAGGGTGGGGGGTAGGGTGGGAAAGGGAAATAATAAATTTAAATAGTGCAGGCAATTCTGACCCGTGGTGAGCAGAACTGACTGTGAGATGGGACTCTCATATTCACGTCACCGGTCTTAGTTCTTCTCGGAGCAGTCTCATGTTAGCTGAGCTGTGTGGTTTTTGTACTTTAAGATATAATACCTGTTTTTTATAAACATGACCCTTACACCCAATTACTTCATTAGGTGGTCACTGAAAAAAAATGTCAAACATTCAAGAAAAAAACAGGTTGTACTGAACTCACAGAAAAAGGGCGTTACCAGTTATCAGGGTGGCAGCCTGGAACTTTCACAGTTAATTTTGATGACATATAATTTTTTACTTCCACAATGGTCTAATCTTTCACTGTTCTACAAAAGTATGAACGACAGAGGAATTATATTTCTTTTGGCAAACGGTCACGTTTGATATTTTCTTTTTTCGTAAGATATGAAAAAATATTAATATCAAATGATTTTTAGATGATTTTCTTCTTACTTTAAGTAGGGCCTGTATCATCAGCTATGGTGTTTTAAAAGAAAGTTTTTACTAAGTCAAAATCAAATAGGAGCCAGAAGGCAAGATCATGCAGTGGAGAATTTAAATAAGCTTGTGAAAGAAAGGAGAGGCACAAAAAGAAATCTGCCAAGTCTTGGGGCACCTGTGTTAGTGAAGGTCCTGGAAAAGGTGTCAGCTGCTCGCTGGGTGGAGTACCAGCTGGAAGTTCAGTACCCACTGGCAGCACCTACAGACACGAAGGGAAATTCAAGTCCATGAGACACTAAGAGTAAAGACTGCATACTGGAGAGCAAACCAACTAATTCAAATGCAGAAGCATAAGAATAAAATGTATCTAGTTAAGGCAAGCTTGTCACCTGGGTTACACTCTGGTATCTACCTTAAATAAAGGACATTATGACCATGATACTATTACAGGGGTCACTATGACATACCAATAAAATGAACAGAAAAGTTTAGTAAAAGGCTATCCCCTAGTGAAAGTAGAGAGAACAAAGGCTGTTTAGACACAAGAGGCACAGTCCAGATACTCCTGAGCCTCTTATTTGGTACAGTATTATCAGGCTTTCCTGGGAAAACAAAACAGTTCAGAAATAACCATGGGGCAGGTCTGATAACAAAAGGCATCAGAAATCTAATACTATCAAGTAATCTGTATTTTGTCTGAGTGAAGCCTCTATATTACCCTGCTGTAAAAAGAACCTCACATCAATGGCAATGCAGAAAGGTGGGCGAAGCATACGATACAGTAGGAGAAACACAGCCTTGTTATTTGGAGGAGATGAGAGACTGAATATGGCAGAATGAGAGGAAGCCACCATAGCAGAACCAAAAAACACATTCTAGTTATTTTACCCCAGCATTAGATTAATTTCTCCTCCACCACATCGAAGTCATCACCAACTTCCAACTTTTTATAAACCTCAAATTGTACATCTATGGAATCTGAGCAAGGCAGAAAATTTGCTTCATTCTCATGGAAACAAAAACTGTGAACTGCTGTTACTATGTACAATCGCCAGCAGAAACACTCAGCTCCCTTTTGGGAAACGGATTTCTTCAGTCTGTACCAATTCAGAAATAATGCCTGTATTTTACCTAACTGTTATATACACTCTTAGAAAGTCTTACAACATAATTAACCCCCAATCCTGCCATATTTCATAAAAAAAAAAAAACCTCACGTTCATGTACATACATCCTAAAATCGCCTTCAATCAATTTATTTAATAAATACCGAGTACCTACCACAAGCTAGGCATCTTTATAACTATACTGCAAGGCTGTATTGTAAAAAGTGTACTTTTGGGGGAGGGGGATTAGAGTGATCTTATTTTTCAAACTATTTCAAAACAAGAAGCTTACTGGAGGCTTAGTTAAAGGTGGCTTTGGTGCAGCAGCTCCAGGTTTCACTCCTGGTACAGTGCTGACTGGGGTGGAAACTTGCCCAGGACTGACTGCTGGTATAACTGACGAACCAGTTGTTCCTAAGGGCAAACTGGCTGGTGGTAAGCAAGTACTTGTAGTGGAAGTCATGAGTTTGCTTGGTGCAACAGCAGTGGTTGGGAGGCCTGGTGTGACAGTGGTCTCCGTGACGAGTGACGTGTCCAGCGAGACAGAAGCATGCTGAGCTCCAGATGAGCTGTGCTCACTAAAGAGAGACCGCAGTTTTTCCTCTAAAGTCTTTATGTCATCAATCCCAGGAGCTTTGGGTTGAGTATCAGCATCTATTTCAGGACAGTGAGTATGGGGCTGGTTGGGAAGCAAAGCTGGTTGAGGTTGACTATGAATTAGTGTCTGCTGTACAGCAGGCACATTGGCAACAGGTTGTACCAAAGGTGGGATACTAGCTACTTGGGGTAGTAAAGGTGTGGAAGTAGGTCCTGCCTGGGAAAGGGCAGGAGTAGAAGACACAGCTGATGGGATGACCAAAGGATGAGCCACACCAGGCTGAGAAACAGCACTAGATGCCCCTGCCCCCAGGGAGGGAGAGGAAGATGACGTGGGGAGGGACAAAGCCAATCCGGTCACGCTGCTATGAGATATCTTATCCAGTGCGTGCGCGCTAACCACTACAGTCTCAGCTCGAGTAAGAGCAGAGGTGCTGCTGCTGGGTGGAAGGGACGGCTGTGCAGCTAGACTCGGGACTGGAGCGGTTGCCGACACGGATGTTAGTGTGGCTGTCCCAGCCATGCTGCCCGCCACCTGCTGCGATGATACAGGTGAAGGCTTAGCGCCTGGGGCAGCAGCACTGCTCACTGCAGAGGCTGCTGTCACTGAGACTGGTACAGAGGGGAATGTGCCTGTACCAGAAACAACGCTCCCAGGTGTGGGAGCCTGAACTGACTGGGATGTCGCTGATACTGAGACGACTGCAGGCACTGTGATGCTTGACACCACACTGGAAAGTATCGGGGATTCAGATGCAGGTGGTACAGGGAGACCACTGGAGGGTATTACACCTGTGCAGGTGGCAACTCCAGCAATCCCCTTTTCAGTGGGCACTGCAACCTCAGACTGAACGGCTGATGTGGAAGCGTCACTAAGAGGGCAGCCCGTGGCAGGGGCTGCCGCTGAGGGTACGGCTGCTGCTGTGGCTGGAGCTCCAGCAGGGCTGATCACGGAAGGGGGCACTGCTGGGAACGCTGGCCCCGTCGGACGGAAGTTGGCAGGTGCTGTGCTCGGCCCTTCTGCCATTTGCGCACGTCTAAGTTCAGAAAAGGCCTGCTGTAGGCTAAGGGATGAAGCAGAGTGTGACAAGCTCATTCCAGCACCAGCAGATGTAGAAGCAGCAACTGCAAAGGAAAATAAAAACTCAGAATCCGTTCTTTTGAAGAAGGTGGGTTCAAAAGACTGTCTGAACAATCTACTTTTGGGATTCCCAACAATGCCGCATACCAACAAGGTATAAAACCTCCCCCAAGGACACGATAGGCTCTAAGATGGCTAAGTGATATAGCAGTTCCAGCAAAAGAAATGATCTTGTATGAATATCTATTTCTGAAAAAACACGGAGTAAACCTCAAACGATATACAGCAGCGCTAAATGGAGATACTAACACACAGTGCTGAATCTACACAGTATCGGCCACACGGGCTGTATCTAGAATGGCCACCCTTCTGTGCCCTTTTGCTCAAATCCTCTCTATTCATCACCTATTTCCCTGTCTCCAAATGTTTATCTGTTGGTCAGTCTCAATTTTCTACTATTCTTTATTGTCTATGTCATCATTGGAACTACCGCTTGATGACCAAGCTTCCAATAGAGGAGACACGGGATTTATATTGTATGTGGCAGACGCAACTCCTTACCTGTATCTGATACTTCACTGAAAATCTTTGATTCTCGTAATCGACTTTCTGGCACAGGACTTACTATAAACCGTCTTCCGGCAGAATGAACAACTTGGGTTAAAGAACTGGCAGGAAGGCCTGCTTAAAAAGAAACCAACCATTTAACTGCATTATTATTATATACATTGTCACTCACACAAAGCTTCAAGATTCCATTATTAGCACATAACTTCTTAGGTCAAAGGTAAGAACAAACAATGGAAAGAAAAAAATTCACCTATTTGCTGTGGCATGGAAGACGCAGGAACTGGCTGTTTGAACTCTTCCAATTTCTACAACAAACAAAAGTGATTAAATTCATTCTCTCACTCAATCTTAACGAGCAGGCAAAGCAAATCGCCACATGCAAAGAGAACACAAATGTTGATAATCTCAGTTACAGGTGTAATGTGGTACCGCTGGACATTGTGCAAGGAAAATTTAGCGAATATTTAACATAAACGAAGCTTCACTACAGGAACGGTGAACCTACTTGAGAGCCTGCAAAGCCATAGTCGTCCTTCCCCTGCAGACTCTCCAATCCCTGGTCACCCTCTGGCTCCACACTGACGTCCTCACTGAGCATTTCATCAGCTTTCTCAATAATATCCCGCACTTGTTCCACAAATGCCTCTCTCTCCATTGCCAGAATAAAGTCATTGTTCACCTGTAAAAGAGATGTGACATTAGCTTAATTAGTACAGTGTTTCCCAAGCTTTAGGTCATTCAATCACCACTTTCATGACTTCTGTCCTATCTGCATACCACCTGTATTACTATTTAGTTAATATGTAAGTTAGTTCTTCAATACCTAGTTAGACATGCCCTACACAAAAGCACCTCTACATCACAGGTTTGGTGCGCTAGTTATATTCACATTGAAATAAATATTTAACTGTCAAAACAGTTTACAAAATATTGCATATCTGCCTAGGGCAGTGGATATGAAGACCAAGTATGAAGGAAAAATTTGGAACTCCAAGAACAGACATACCATAATTGTTGCTATCTCCTCAGGGTTGTCACCATCTAAATCAAATTTGAATGTAACCATTTTCCGATTGTGAGTCTCTAATTGACATTCTACTACCCGGTCTCCTTTATTTGAAACCTGAAAAGAAAAAAGAAAGAAGAAAAAAGAAAAGGTACTTCATATCTCAGAAAAACCATGCTCAAATCTGTTACTGGATGTGACAAAGTAACACAGGTTATCACTTGAACTTAAGCTGAATGTTACCACTATTCCTTGAAGCACTGCTACTTTGCCTCTTAAAGTAGGTGCAAGAAAACCTTAAGAAAATATCAGCCTTTCAGCTACTTACACATCTTCCACTGAAGGGTCTGGTAAGAATGTAAGATCTTTGTTTTACAAATAAAAACTCTCTATTTTTTTTTTTTTTTTTTTTTTAGAAATATGGAATTTAACAATATCATTTGGGTGATACAAGATCCTAAACTTTCATCAATACACCCAAGCCTTAGAAATATTTAAATGGTATGAACTAACTATATGAAACCCAGAAGTCAGCAATACTTACATTCAAAATTCTCAATTTTGGGCGTGAAGTCTTTTCATGACGAGAGCGACTTCTTACAGATTTTCGATAATGCCGTTTTGTAGTTCTCCCTTCATGCCTTCCACTGGATGATGGGACATTCTCATTGCCGTCACTCATGCCTGAAGCAACATCTGAATGTGCACTTTGGAAAAAAAAGTTCAGTTTACGACGGGATTTAAAGGTGAGACATTTTAAAGTTTCCTACCATCCTATCTACCAGTCAAGAAAGGAGAACTGTACTGTCACATACCTGTCTACAGAAGAGACCAATGTAGCAGGCTGGGTAGGTTGTGGCTGAGCCACTGGAACTGGCTCTGGAGGAGCCACCTGAGAGACGCCCTGAGTGCTCTGTAAACAGAAAGGATAATTCACACCTTGGCAGTAATATACTTTATTTATTGTCGACCATCCCCAATAAGTTACTCTTCCTTTCCTTATCCCTCCCCTAAGTCCTAGAAGCACTACATTTACTAATAATTCTTAATATTCAGCATCTACAGACAGTCATCTTAAAATTGCAAAGGAAGTTTCTAAAGCTAGTCTCTGGTACAGACTGCACAGTGTGTCATCAGCCAAAACAGCTGCTAGGTAGTGAGAAACTACAAGCTGCCGTGCAGCCAGCATCTCACCAGAATGTGCAACAGGGCGTGCAGGGCGAAGTGCAGAGACAGCTCAGAGCTTTCTCCAAGAGGGGCAAAAATGATCCCCGGGAGCACAGCAGGGCAAGGTATTCTGGTGACTGCCAACGGCAGGAGTTTGTGAAAGGATAAGGACAACGGCTGAAGGGCTATAGCTAGAAAAGTGAAGTGCTAGCAGCGTTATCTCCTCCAAGGCACACTCACTTCCCAACAGAACAGCCAGTGGCAACAAGGCCCCACACTGGCATTTCACTCGGCTGCAAGAAGAAGTCATTCAGAAGTTAGTTCGCAATAGTTTCCAAGTGCATTCTAAACCAGGGGAACCTATATTTCTCCTTTGTCATTTTTATTCCATTATACATATAGTTTAGACATAAACATGCAGGAATTCCATTTACCTCCAGAGCTGCTTGCTGGGAGGATGTAGTGGGGGCTTGTGCTAAACTCACTGCTGGCTGGGACACTTGAACCTGTCCTCCTATACTGCCCACAGGAACCAAAAGGCTTGATTCCACATAAGGCTGCACCACTGTAGGAAAGTAACCTGGTGCAGCCAGTGCTTCTGCCGGCATGGGAGGGGACAGGACTGTAGAAGGAATGCACACAGAAGCCACGCTGGAAGAGGGAGCAAGATTTGAGTCTCCTGGGTACTGTGGTGGCAGTCGAGGTGGGAAGCCCTGTGACAGAAACGAGGAAGGGGAATTAGTGCAGGTTGGGTCATCAAATGAGTAAAATAGCAAGACAAGCAAGAAAAAAAAAAAAAGAAAAAAAAAAAGGGAACATAGCGAAGAAAAGTAGCCTGATCTTTTTCTAATAATTTAAAGAAGATTCTTGAAATGAAATGGTTAACTGATTTCAATTTAGGGGACAGCACTGTACACAACTATACTTTTAAGTTGCTATTTTTTTCCCCTCCTGGAGACTATTTAAATAGGAGGAATAGACATAATTCCTTCTAGAAAATACCTACTTTCTACCCAAACAAGAGAATGCAAAAACTCTTCAAGGTATCAGTCATTCCAGTTATATAATGACTTGCTAATATTCTAAATCTAAACCCTGAAGCTTTTTACTGATACCATGTCGGCTACCCATATTTACTCTTCCCATAAAAAAAAGCCTGATATATTCTATTATTAGCCATATCTAGCTTTCAATCAGCTTACACTGAATATTGAGAGAACCATTTTTCTCCCAAGAGATGTCTTGGGGAAAATGGAAATGAGTCATCAGACATCATCTCCCTGTCCTTTCTCAGAATTTTACTATTTTAGCATCTCTGGTTGAGATCAGCAACTTTCGTTATTGTTAGTTATTCTGATATTCAGTTATTAGGTTTTTAAGTCCTTGATGTTCTGTCATTAGAACCAAACCCTCTGGTGCCCTTCTTCTCACCAGCCAACACGGTACCTGGTAGAGAACATCTCCAGAGGGGAGTGGAGCCTCAGCAGTCTGCCCGAGGTTAGCGGCTATCCCCATGGACTGAACTGCTGGCTGCAGGAGCTGCGGGTGAGCCTGACTTGGCAGCTGAGTCACAGGCTGCAGGAGGGTGGGAAGCTGATTAGGGACCACGGCGGGTCCCACTGGGACTGCAGCTGCCGGAGCAGAGGAAGCCAAGGTAAGCAGAGGCTGATTAACGCCAGCTGCCATGGTGACAGGAAGCGGGGAGAAAGCTGGCTGAGGAGCTGAGGGGATCTGAGAGACAGAGTACTGGGGGAGTGAGGAAGGGGGGAGTGGCTGTCCCACAGGGTGGAAGTGAGCACCAGAATGGACTGGAACAACTGAGGGCTGTGTCGCAACTGGGATCTGAGGTTCGCCTTGGATAGTTGGTACTGGCTGGGAAACTGGAAGCTGGGAAGGTAAAGAAAAACAAAACAGACAGACTTTAAAAAAAAAAAGCAAGGCTGCCAAAAGCAAGACTTATGTATTAGCCAAAAAGAAAGAAAATTAAAACAAACACCAAACCCTTGCATACATTAGTGTAAGTTAATGTGCCACATAAGAGCAGGGAGAGGACAACAGGAGACAGGGAGGCTGATGGACTGGCTGCTGTTCCAAATCTTTTGTGGCAGGAAATTTTGCTCATGCTTCATCGTTCAACAATAAAGAGAACCCTTCCATATGAAAGGTTGTTTTCTTTACAGCCTGGCTGAGATATGTTTCACATACCATAATCCACTGGCATGTTTGCTGTCACTAAATCTACAACTGATACTACAGTGATTACTGAAATTCAAAGGACTTCCTTCCCAGTGGAGTTAGAGCTCATCCATAGTGCTTCCACATTCTTAAGTTTAACACAGGCCTGTAAAAGTAGGTCTAATTACTATATTTCACTGATTGTACGATGCAATCATCCCTTTCCACCACCTGGTCATTTTAATGTTTATGACATTAAGATATATCTTACAATTAATGGTATGTCAGTTCTCAGTGTTACATAATAATGGTGCATTTTACAATTGACAGTATCTCAGATGTGATGAAATATGACAGAAACAATACAAGCACAAGAAGCCCCGATGTTAAAGCTGAAAAAAGGTCATTCAGAAGAGCTTTTCTTCTACAGGGTTACTTTTCTTTCCTTTTTTTTAAAATTTAAATATTTATTTATTATTTATTTGGCTGTGCCGGGTCTTAGTTGCAACACGCAGGATCTTTAGTTGCAGCATGCGGGATCTAGTTCCCTGACCAGGGATCGAACCTGGGCCCCCTGCATTGGGAGCACAGAGTCTTAGCCACTGGACCACCAGGGAAGTCCCCAGAGTTACTTTTCAAGTGACTAGAAGGATAACTTAGAAAAAAAAATCATTCCATATAAGGGTTTTTTATGACTTCAGAAGGCAGTGAAGGAAGGAAATAATGCATAAATCTACGTGAAAACACAGCATAATTGCAAACCTAGAATGATAGGTACAACTGACAATTCTAGAAAATGTCAGAGGTTCAATTACTACAGCACCTTTATCAGTTCTATACCTGTCAAACTGACTTTAGGCTGATAAACCTAAAAGTTAAACATTTTTGGATTATCGCTGCTGTATATACACATTTATATTAATCAATGCATATACACAAAAGAAGCAATTTTCACTTCATTTTTGCAGTGAAAATAACCAATTTTCACCATTAGGGAAGGTAGAAGTCATGTGGCACTCCTTTCTAGAAGTTAAGCGTTCACCTGTTTTCCTGC